CTCTGAGTCCCTATTTAAGGAAAAACTAGCGAGACGAGTACCTTAGGTCGACTCCAGGACTCCTCCTGAGGTAGCCTGACACAACATACAGTTAGCTGTAGACAGCTGTAAAAGCTGTTAATAACCTAACACTTAAAGTCAGTAAGAGCCATTGGATTTCTACTACCTCAGCCGAACTGATTGACGCAAGAAGACTGATTCTGACGAGCTCCGATTATGATGAGAAGCGAAGGCTACTCAAACGCAAACTAACAAGAAGTCTTCGTAACTACCGTGAACAGTGGTGGGTGACAAAAGTGAAAGAGATGGAAAAGGCATCGGCTATTGGTAACACCAGACAACTATCTAGGCTTATCAGTGAAACAGATGGTAAAAGGCAAATGATGAGTGAAACAATCTCTGAGAAAAGTGGCATCATAATTAGCTCCCAGGATTGACGACTGGAACGTTGGAAAGAACACTTTGAGGAGCAACTTAATTGGCCTACAGCCACTCTCAACTTACCGAGCATCCAACACCTCCCTGAATGGAAAACCCTATATTGATATCACTCCCTGAATGGGATATAGGCACAGGTCCTCCGTCCCTAACTGAGGTTACTAAGGCTGTCACTAGTCTGAGACGAGGCGAAGCAGCAGGACCTGATGGGATAACTACAGAGGTGTTTATGGATGGCAGAGACAGTTTACTGTCTGAGTTAACTTGGGTATTAGACAATGTCTGACCGACTGACGGGTTTCAACGTAGAACTTTGCACCGATGTGCAGCAGTTCTAACCGCCACACTCCATGTGGTACACAAAGCAAGGGAAGAAAGTGAACAAAATGCAAAACAGAGATATGAGGGAAAAAGAATAGTAATCTAGAAGAACAATGTAGTTATAATGGATATTATTAGTCACAAGAAGTGGATGCGTCTATATCACTGACAACGATTTTGAACCATATCACAAATTGTCTCCAGGCATTGATTTTTACCATCCCGAGGACCCCAACCAGACAGCAGTCTACGCCTTCTTACGTGACTGGCTTAAACTAACTGTTGTGGATTTCATTGACTGATGGCACGATTCGGTTTGACCACCACTGTCTCCTTTCCAACCTGATTTATCCTATGCCAGCTAATATTCCCCGTCGAGGAACGCGATGTTTAGTATGAAAATCTGGAAAGGAGACAGTGGTGGTCAAACCGAATCGTGCCATCAATCAATGAAATCCACAACAGTTAGTTTAAGCCAGTCACGTAAGAAGGCGTAGACTGCTGTCTGGTTGGGGTCCTCGGGACGGTAAAAGTTAATGGCTGGAGACAATTTGTGATATGGTTCAAAATCGTTGTCAGTGATGTAGACGCATCCACTTCTTGTGACTAATAATATCCATTATAACTACATTGTTCTTCTAGATTACTATTCTTTTTCCCTCATATCTCTGTTTTGCATTTTGTTCACTTTCTTCCCTTGCTTTGTGTACCACATGGAGTGTGGCGGCTAGAACTGCTGCACATCGGTGCAAAGTTCTACGTTGAAACCAGTTAGTTACTCGTCATTGTGCTCATATTCCATAGTGAATTTAATGTTTGGGTGGACCTCACTAAGGCGGTCACATAATATGGATGCCTGACTCATGGCGATACAAACAACAAACGCATCATCGACATATCGGCGATAGTATGTTGTTTCACTGATTGCATCACTCAGTCGTGTCTTCAATTCTGACTGAGGCCGCTAAGTCAACTAAACCTGATATTTTCGGTTACAGTGCTTAGGGAATTTTATGTATTGTTAGTGTTCGTAGTGAATCGAGAGTCAATAACATCTAACAAGATTCTGTCAGACGATCGCTTAAATGGATTTAATGTCAATCAATATAAGAGAGAGCATTGGAGGCGGCATGAAACTACTTCAAGCGTTCAAATAACTTGTGGTAATCAAAAAACACACAAGTCGTAATAACCTCGAATGCTACCTCCTTGTACACCTTCATTAGGTGACACAAAGCAGACATCATAAGATAATATGACCCTTACTACTTAATTACAAAAGATTAAAACCATTTTCCGGAAAAAAACTAAATTAACGAGGTCAATTGCTACTATTGAATTATGATATGTAAAGCGTATCAAGCTTTGCCTCCCGGTATAGGCTGAACAACTATTGTAACAACAGAAGACAAGGGCCAGGCAACAGATCATCTATATGTCAACTGTATCCGCCTACTCAAATTCTGCTGTGGTCGGTTTTTGAATCAGTCTTGTTCATATTTTCTCACGACCAATCTTGAGAACGTAAACATTGACGTAAATTACTGTCTACCAATTTGGCTAGTAGACAGCTCTCACCACACTATTACCTCTTATCAACACAGTCGACTAATCTTAGTACCTAGACGCTACATGTTTTGCAGTGGCTAGAAATGAAACCTAAGACAATAGTTTCGCCCTTTCTAAAATTTTTCGGATCTCAACAAACGAGGTTCCCACTGCGACCAGTAGGCACACATATCATTCCAAACCACAAAGTCTTCCTGTTGAAGCTACTGAACCACAAGAATTACCCTTTGGGCAGCGCATACGATTTGACGTTCTTCGTAATGCCTGTAATTAATCGTCAACCCCTCTGAAGTGAATTAGTTCACCAACTTTATAACAGTATGTGCTGCGTTGTCGGCGGTTCAGCAATAGGAGTTTTGCCAACCAAGCAAGTGGTCCGGCGTTCAATCCTTAACCGATGCACTTCCAAAACCTCGCTAAGTCGGTAGTGTAGACCAGTAAAGAGTGAAAGTTGGATATGAGGCTAGCAACCTCCCACCACGTAAACATAACACCATTGCTATCGAAACTACAAAGCTCAAGAAAACACTGAAACCCTATGTTCCACTTAGAATTTAAAGAAATAAACTACAGCATGTAAACACCACTTAGACGAACAAGTACAACAAAAACATCAATTTCTAACTAGTATGATAGTGGCGGCTAAATAATAGGAGAGATAAAAACACTAATATCTTGCATACAGCAAGTAAACTAACTAATATAAATTCTAGATGACTAAACTACTGCACTTTTATACAAAGTTCTACGTTTTTTTTTAAAAAATTCAGTCCAATTCAGGACAAATTCTTCCTGCTTATCTGTCAGTCCCCAACTCTATTTCAGTAGTTCATTGCCTATGTTGACTTTGTCCAACTGATATGTTATGGACTACAGTAACTGTCGACTTCAGGCTGTAAACATACACATAGCGACAACACAAATTATGTCAATAATAGTTTGAGAGGAAAAAAGTAATAACTCAATATAAAATTCCATTTTATTCAAAAAGGGTATTAAATTGCTTTCACTGTAAATCGAATTTTTCATTTTCCATTGTGTAATTTCCTCGCTGTTATTTATGTACACAATTACAGAAATTCAATCACTTTTAGATTCAAACACACACCTCCGGAACATGGCGCTTTACAGATGCCTTCAGATTCTTATCCATCAAAATTAATATCTTCAGAGGGTTGAGCATTTAGATCATGGTTGTGAATCAATGTTTTGTTTTTCTGTAAAATCACTCAATAAATAATTTCGAAAAAAAACAGGGTTACCATTTGGTCAACAGTGTCAGCAGTTAAAGTCAGTGTAGGATTATTTTTGTCCTACAGATTTAGTCCTTCCTCAATACTGACGACACAGAGTCTGGGCTTAACTATAGTTAAAACAGAATGACTTGACTTTAACTTTATCTGTTTCTAAAACATAAAATAAATCAGACAATTACACCAAGAAAAATGTACAAATCGACTGTCATTACAAAAATAGGATAAAAACGTACCGAACAGTATTGAAGGTACGGACAAAATGAACAGTCAGTTAATTACATGTATATACAAGTAGAGTGACAGACAAAAAAGAACATTCAAGGTCACCATCACGTGGTGTGAGTTACATTAATTCGCCAATAACCGCGACAAAAAGGTCACATAATATTGATTGGCTGCTTATCATACAGTCTATCTATCTGTCGCGACTAACACTCCCCGCGAACGATCACCACTTTGACCTTTCGTACGCTTCTTATATCTTGTTCCATTTCTTGAGTTGAAGTTTTCAAACACAGTGTCCTGACGTGGCCATCTTGGTCATAGTACATCTGCTTAACTATAGCCTTTCGCCAGAGACCTCTCTGTGTGTCAGCACAGTTAACTAAGACGAGATCATCAGGTTGTAGGTTGTGCTTTATATCCAACCACTTAGATCTTGTTTGCAGCATCAGAAGATATCCACGTAGCCATTTATGCCAGAGCAAATCAGTCAAGTATTTTGGAAGTAGTTGAATATAGTGTTGGAAGAAAGCTTATCCATACATGGCATTCTCTTTACCTTTGTAATATTGTAATTTCCTTAAGAATTCACCAATTGCTGAACGAGCCACAGTTAAAAGTCTTTTTGGATCCAAGGGAATACACAAATCAGATTCATCGTCCTCACCGACCACTTTATGTGTACGTCCCATAGAATCGTCAGCTTCAATCAAAACTCGCAGAATCGCACAACGAGCAGAACAGTGTGCTTGACACCATGATACAATGTCATCAGCATTTTCTGCTGGAGAATAAAACTCCATGGAAGTTACAATTGAAGGAATCATTGACAACCAATTAATATAGACTGCATCTGGGACATCGCCTTGAGCACAGTTAGTATTCAAACCGAACTGCTCCAAAACAAGAGGTAAATCAGATAAATAAATTCCAACGCACTCAGCTTGACACTTGTCTATTGCAGATGAAAGGTTTAAAAACTTGCTGTCATACGTTTCTCCTGGTTCACACCAAGCTTTTACACGACCTCCATTTATGATATATTCAGTAGTTTTCGTGTGGAAATTTCGTTTTCCATAAGAATCACGCCGAAACAGTTTACCTGAATCATATCCCATCAGTTCATGAAGTCCAACTTGTAATTCAAAGGAACTTTCAGCATGTTCCACGTACATTTGTTTGTCTTCATTACGTAGAAATTCTGGTTTAGGATCCTCGAGACGAACACTAAGTACATTATTCAAAGAAACATTTTTAAATCCATCAACTTGTCGTACATCATCATAGTTAGGAATATTAGTCCCAACAGGAATTCCAGAAGTTTCAAACGTAACTACATCCAAACTAGTAAGGTCTGGCTGTAAGAAATTAACTTTTTCAAATGTAGAAGGCCATGGTAAATTTGTTAACAACCTTTCAGCATTATTCACAAGACGTTGGAATTTTTTAGACACTGATCTATTTACAACAGCGACAAATGACTCAAACTTTGCACGAACGCCAAGGGAATCACGGTATGACTCTATAAACCCAATATACTTTTCAACAACAGGGTTCTTATCTTCAACCCATAACCTGAAGGCATCTTTGTGAGTGGCCAGTAGTGAAGCTTTCAGCATACTGATGCCACATTTCTGATTCAATTTGGTTAAGCGAATGTGCTTTAAAATCTCTACAAAAATCGACTAGTAACTTCATCAGCTCACTATAGTCACCATATTCAAGCTGCAAAGATGTGTCCGAGGGAAGGGCATCTCTTAACTTCTCACGACGTTGACTTGGAGGGATTTGCAGGTCATGGTAACGTTGGGCTAACTGTCTTTGTTTTTCTTGGATAATAGGAGCGTCAAAATGACTTTCTGCAGCAGGCGTGTCAGCCTGGACTTTGAATGTATCTATACGTTCACGATGAGTAGCTACATCAGATTCAAGCAAGTTGTGCCGCCTTTGTGCGTTCATCACACCGTTTAGATCACGACCGACATCCTCTGAGGCTATCTGAGCTTCAACATCATTCGACCATAACTCAACATCTAAGTTGCGAGCGAATCGTTGTTGCCTACTTGCTTGATCTAAATTTTTCTTCTTGTCTCCCATGGCATTTACGAGATGAGACCAAGTTTCATCCAACTGTTCAATCTTTACTTTTATTTCTGGCGAGTTGTAGGGGTTTGCATTTAACAAATCCTGACCTGTCCTTTTAATATCTTCAACGCGGGATTGGTTCGCTTGTATTTCTGCCTCAAAACTCTGATGCTTCTGCACCTTTGTTTGCAAATTCGTGGAGTCTTTGTAACTTTCATCAAGTGCATTTTCAAGTTTTCTTGATATCCATGATTGCATTTCATCTGCATCTCTATCGAACATTTGGTAACAGTGGGAATCTTCAAGACGCTGACGGCGGTTCCGAGCTTTCTCCTTTAATGCATTTCGTCTATTTTGAAGACCTTCCTGAATCTCATGAACCTGTGCAGTCGCATAGTGGTTTGATTCGATTAATTTTGCAGCGAATTCATCAAGTTGTCGCATCTTTTCTTCTTGTGCTAAAAGTGACTTTTCGAAGTCTTCATGTTTCCTTATGAGTACTTCGACAGAATCGAGTGAGTCTCCCACATCTTTTATTTCTAGGAGGGCCTCTTGCTTACCAATACAAGAGTCTGATTGTTTAGCGTCGCGGTAAAAATACTGAAGGCCCATACACTGTTCTAGCTGTTCACGTCTTTCCTCACACAACTGCATCAGGGAGGCTCTCCCTCTTTCAAGGGTGGAAAGTTTAGCAGCTATGTCTTCACTACAGGGATGGCCAACACTTAGTAATGCCTGACCTTCTTGCATGCATGTATCGAAACTTTCAGCTCGAGAACTTATCTCAGCGGTGTATTCCTTACGTGGCTCTACTTGGGCTTCAGCACCAGCTACATCCTTTGCCAAATCACCCGCCGATATTAACGTCTTCATTTCACTCATCCAGATACTCAAATCTCTCCAGTCAACCAAAAAGCGATGCATCTTGAATGACTCTTCCAGTTTACCTCTTCTATCTACAGCCTGACTTTTCAGCTTATCCCATGCAGTAATTAAGGCGTCATACTTGCCTTGTATAGTTTCTTGCGAATCAGGATGCTTCTGTGCAAGCGCCTTAGCATCATCTCCAAGTTGAACAATCTTTTTATCTGGGGCAGTCAAATCCCTTTCTAATGCTTCGTGCTTCCTTTGTAAGGCTTGGACTGAAGCAAGATCATGACCACAGTCCTCAATTTTCTCTGTGGCTAAGACATGATTGACCATGCTAGTTTCTTCAAGGGTCTTCCTGTATGGTCCCAGTAATGTCCAACCCAAGGGAGTCTTTACGGCACAAGGTTCGTTAGCTCTTCCAAGCCTTTTATCGATAGTTACGTGAGCTTCTGGCACGTTACAGCCAATAAGCATCTTAATTTCTTTATTCTTAACCTCTGGTAAAACTATCCCATCTAGGTGACTCCATGAAGCCATCTGATCTGCTGTTAGCACAACTCTTTGTGACTGTGGCAACTTCTCTACTATCCATGCTTTGGAAACAGTAACATGAAGTGATGAATCCAACGGAGAGATTTCCAGTTGCACTTGTTTGCAAGACAAAGTAGAATGTGAACCAAGCGTCTTAAGGGAGACTGTCTTAGTTGCTCCTACCAAACCTAGTTCTCTTGCCAGATCTTCTGTGACTAATGTTGCATCTGAACCACTATCCACAAACGCACAGGTTTGAACGACATTACCATTATATCTGGCTAAGATGGGCACTATAGCGAATGCGGTTTCACTTGCCGGAGTCTTGTCCAAAGTCATATCACTACACTCCTGAGCGTTAATATGCACATCATTTTTTATATCGTCGGATGATCCCTGGCTTCTGTGAAGCAATGTATGGTGTCTCCAACCACAACCTTCAACTGTACAGGACCTTGGAGATCGGCAATTCTTTGCTATGTGATTTGCTTTTAAACATACGTTGCATAGTTTTCTCTTGGAAACAAACGCCAGACGTTCATCAAGGTCTTTATCTTTAAACTCTAAACACTGGTCTAGGAAATGGTCTCCCGAACACAATATACAGGGTGGGATAAATAAACGTGACTCGTTCTCAGGATCATTATTCGGCTTTTCGACATTATTCTCTGAGAGCCTGGTAACAAACACTCGGTGTTTAGAATCAGAGTTTTTCTTCATAGGGTTAGTAAACTCCTTACTATTTTTTCCCGTGGAATGCCCATTGATTAGCAGCCCATACCTGGTGTTAGCCATATCTGACTGCTCCTTAACAAACATGCATAAGTCGCTAAATGATGGTTCGCGACCGCTCTTTATGACGTTGCAAGCCACCTTTATCCATTCTCTCTGTGAATGAACAGGGAGTTTTAGGACTAGTTGTTCAATAGTTTTACCAGAATTCAAATCTGAAACATAGTTCATCTGTTTTAAAGTCAATTCGCAGGCTTGCATCTCGTGAGATAGCTTCCTTAGTAATGCTGCATCACTGCTTTTAACATTTGGAAATTCTAGGAGTTTCTCTATGAAGGCTCGGGCCACAACATGCCTTTGCCCAAATGCTTCCTCTAATAGTTGTAGGGCTTTATGATAACCTTCCTCTGGCTCTAGCAAAACACAGTGTTCGATTACATCTTTGGCTTCTCCTTCACAATACTGAATCAAGTAATTTAGCTTACTTCGGTATCCAATGGCATCATTATCCACCAAGTCTTCAAAATTCTTTATAAAATTCCAATAATTTACAGGATTACCGTCAAACTTAATTATCTCTCTTTTAGGCATGTCCAGAAACTTGGACATGGCTCTGGCGAGCTCATCGTTAGACGATACAGCGACATGATTAGAACATTCACGACTAGCTTGTCGTAATCTTTCCAGTTCAATTTCTTTCTCTATTTGGACTATGCGCAATTTCGCTAGCTCCAATTCTACCATATAGTGTGATTTATTCTCGTTGCTTCCAGGGAAATCAGCTTCATTACTCTTTTCTAACTGTGGAGTTAACGACGGCATAGTTTCATAACTTTCGTCTGCCATACTGTTCGAAACTTTGTAGGATTATTTTTGTCCTACAGATTTAGTCCTTCCTCAATACTGACGACACAGAGTCTGGGCTTAACTATAGTTAAAACAGAATGACTTGACTTTAACTTTATCTGTTTCTAAAACATAAAATAAATCAGACAATTACACCAAGAAAAATGTACAAATCGACTGTCATTACAAAAATAGGATAAAAACGTACCGAACAGTATTGAAGGTACGGACAAAATGAACAGTCAGTTAATTACATGTATATACAAGTAGAGTGACAGACAAAAAAGAACATTCAAGGTCACCATCACGTGGTGTGAGTTACATTAATTCGCCAATAACCGCGACAAAAAGGTCACATAATATTGATTGGCTGCTTATCATACAGTCTATCTATCTGTCGCGATTAACAGTCAGCTTAGCCAAAAAGACAGTGAACTAGCCATCTCCATGATTTCTCTGAAGAAGAAGAAAAAAACACGATATATATACGTTAAATTTACTTCAACTAACCTGTGTGATGTAGATGAGGCTGGTAGATGCATTTTTTCTTGATCACGTAAATACTTGGAAAATTCATACTGTCTGTCAGTAATACTCAGACCTTTACTCAATAACTTTAACAATTGACATAACTCGGGATCAACAGGTTTCATGAAATTTTGCTAAATAATCAGGCATAAAAAGAAATTAATTAAGAATGAACAACTTACATCTTTAATCTTACGAATCTTTGGAAGTAAATCACTTAAATCAGGAGATATCTCTTCATCATCTTTAGTGAGAGAAACAGTCGGCTGAAAAACATCACAATTGGGAGTAAAACAAAAATAAACAATAACAAAATAATGTTAAATTCAGTAGGTCTGTTCATTGTACACAAAGCATGAAACCACATCAATAAAGTTGTTGTTGTTGTTTTTGATGTTGAAATGCATTAACTGCTTAATGTCTATCTTTACAGATTTTAATATTCAGATTTTACTATGACTTATTTAGGTGGAACAAAATCGGCAAACATTACAAGGTGTCAAACAACCTTGGAAATCGAAATTTACGGTTCTTTAGAGACTTAATCCCAACTGATAGCTGGTATCTTGACATAATGGTCGGGCCTGCATATCCCAATGAACCGACAAGCTACAACACTGGCAGGAAATAATGATTCTACAAGTCTCACCATTGCAAGAAGGCCGTTAGATCAATAGAAGTTACCACCTTAATGTAATTTCCTGACACTACGTTGGGAATCTGTGGGCGAGTTTGCACCGCTGCCAGATATGCATGTGATAGCAGTAAAGAGTTGATAAGTGTGTACGAAGTCTCGAAAGCAACACAGCTATGGTAATGTAGGCATAGATTTCAAACCACTGTATGTGATAGGGTTGGACGAAAATTCTACATTTCAAAATAATAATGCGGAGAGTGATAGAACACCGAATTTTTGTGTCTGAAATCAATACCGAATTCGTACGACCGGAATAAGATGTATCCATATAAGTGGAGGAACGAAGCATTAAGCGAATGAATTTCCACACAGAAACTTGCACAGAAGTGCAGCAGTTCAAGTTGTCACACTTTATGTGGTAAGCAGAGATAGAGGAGACAGAAAAGAAATCCAAAAAGCTAATAGGTAGAAATGTACGAGGGGATAGAATCTTGGGGAAACATAAAGGTTTAATCCGCATAGAAAGCCAAAAAGAATCAATGCATCTGCGTCAGTGAGAAGCATTCTGAGCTATATCACCGATAATCTGCAGTCACCGGTTCTTAGTATCCCGAAGACTTTGTCAAGCCATCCACAACTCCCTATGTGGTGCGAATTACATTGATAACAAGTTTTGCGTTGACTGTCGTTAACTCTTTGTCAATACAACCGTCACCTAAAATTGCTTGTCGAGGAAGACGACGCTTCGACATGCGCTGCACGTATCCCAGCCTTCTCAATCGACTTATCTTCACAACCTCATTGACTGATTCACCGTTCCTAACTAACACCACGCCTAACTTCAATATTACACTTATTATATATTATACTACTTAACACGGGAGATAGAGCGCAAACATCTCTGTTCAAAGACAGCTAGCCTTCTCATATCTTCCACTTTCCTCAGCCATATCCTACAGCAATGAAGCAGGATACGGTGAATCGCTGTGCAGTGCACATGTCATTGTAATTTCCCATATCTAATAAACCCTTATGTTTCACCGTGCTACTGATCTTTCTCTGTCAATTTCCTGCTTACTATAGTCATTTCGAACTTTTTCTCTCTTCATTTATTCTGTCTTTGTGTGATTCATTGTGTGAAAGACGGACATCACGTCCACGCCAGAAATGACGTCAGCTGGCAAATTCAACACGAGCCTTTTATGAGTACTGATAGTTCGTGAACAGTGGGTCTGTTCGGGTTGATACAACTTCCCACATAATCGAAGTAGTCAACACCCTCTACGGCTACACGCTGCCTTTAAGCTAGGAGTAGGCGCAGTCTAGTCCCTGAGTATTATCTTCCACTAGACAGGAGCCACTCGCATGCCAAACATTCAAAGAATTTTGCCAAAGGTATCCGGAAGACTGCACTTTGTCAAAGTCTTCACCTAGGAGGACAACATCATCTAAGTCGACAGGATCATGTCCTTGTAACAAGTCAATCCCTGAGTCCTTGAAGTCAATTAGGGTGAGTTAACCCTAGTACATCTACGATGAAATTAAATATGAATGCAGATAGTGGACATTCCCCAGGTTCTGAAATCTACTGAAGAGTGAACCTAACACTTAACATACTATATTAGCCAATCTAATTCCCCGGTGATTATCACAGGCAGACTAGTCTCCCTCCTTATAAACTAGGATATACAATCATTTGCATTAATCTGGCAGAACCGCTTCTGATTCTCAGACATTCCCAGACAGTTCGTCACCTTTCGAATCATTCGATCATATCCTGCTGCTCTGTTTCGCTTAAGATTGCAGATGACCCACGAAACCACAGTTGTAATTGGAGGACTGATGTCCGGTAACTTTCGCTTATGTCTGGAGCAGAAATCAGTTTTTTTTTAATCTATTGGTCTAGATGAAGTAACAGAAATCCCCTGGCATTTACTAACGTTTGGTTTCACCTTTACGTAAAGGTATAACAATGTTTCTATAGAAACAGCTGTATACAGCTAACTGATCAGTCAGGTGGCATAAGCTAACTGGATTGATGTTCAGACTTCTAAAATCATCAGTAACAAATTCGCTTTGAAGTAAGTGAAACGAAGAATGAGTTATATACACAACCACACTTTATGCGTAATGCAAATGTACATTTCTACCACTCCAGGTAGCAGGTACTGACAGACTTACTTTGGTAATGCTCTCTGGTTCTCGAGAACTAGACCTTTTAGTACGATCAGTTTCCAGAATTTCATCTAAGAGGTCGAACTCTTCCCTCAACAATGGGTCGTCGTCCATCGCGGTAGACTCAGCTATGGGGTCAAAGGGACCACTCATTGACACACCCTGATCCATGACCTTATGACCTGGAATCTGACTATAGCGTCTTTCCATGTTGGATGATCGATATAGGCACCTTTTGCTTGGCTGTTGGCTAACTGGCCTCTTTTTGGTCTAAAATATAAGTTAAAATGGCAGTCTCTTTATTTTGACACGGAAATTTACAGTCAGTTTAATTTCAGGCTTAACTTACCATAATATAACGGCGTGTTAATTATTTTGGTGTGAGTGTAGTGTGATAGTCACACGCTATTTGGATGCATTTGTGGTATTTAAAGTACATTCAGATGTATGAGAATGTCTAGCAAGTGAATATAAATTAACAATAATTTTGATGCATTTATTTTAAGCCCAAAATAGGATGTATGCATTTTTGCTTACTAGGCGAATATAATTCAACTACAATTTCTAAACATATAATGTGTCTTTAATTAGAACATATAGATAAATGTATGTATTAACTGATCCACTTTTTTAAGTTGCTAGTTTAGTGACCTGTGGGATTTGTGCATAATAGGTCAGCATAAATCAATTAAATGTACTAGGTCACAACAGTGGTTTATGAGCACTGAAATATATACTATTATTCATCTACTTGAAATTATAATGTTGTGTTCGTTAGTCATTGTTTAAACCATTACATGACGTTACAAGATACTCCTGCAGCCTCTAATTCACGAAATGTGTCATCTATATTGTCTGATGTAATGGCTATATACCAAAGAATAATGCTTAGTTGTGTATTTTATACGTGGGTGCAACTTAAGCAAGCTTTTGATACATTTATGAAGGTAACAACTAAATTGTTCATTATTTCTTTGAAAGGAATCCAACACATCCTAACGGCTTGATTCAGGTAAAAAAGACCCATCTGGCCCTATGGAATATAAGTTTGTGAGGTATGAATGCACTTTTGGAGGTATAGTTTAGTAAGCTTGGGACGCTTATCATACCAACCTTGCAACAATTCTCAGCAAAGTCTAACCAACGCGTCAATAATGCCTTTTTACGGTAAATGAATATTTTATCTGCTTGAAGTGAACCCAGTATGTACTGAAATAACCCTGGTCCTTCTATAAAGCTACTATATTTGGGTCTCGCCTACTCAGGAAAATTCTGCCTCCCCCCTGTACGATAATTATAGGAAAATTTCCCTGGCAGTATACTTACTTACGAGTACCAAATACAGCCGACTGTTCGTGGATGCTGTTCGGACAGATTGGAGTAATTTCTTACTGCAATATGAGAACTGTCTCGGAGATGAACATATTGTTTACAATATTCATTTTCTGAAACGTACAGTGGATGACGTCGAGCTGCATGGACTATTAGAGGGATTCAATGCATTTCCCTTTGAATTCTATATGCGCATGATCAGACAGTTCGTGCACTGTGGATATGTTGTGGCTAAGCAGGCAGCTCAGCGTTATGTTGAGCACGTGCACTCAATGAAAAGTACAGGTGTCAAGCATGTACCTAAAGAAGCTAGTACTAAAGGCGTTAAGTTTAGCAAACGAAAGTTAACTTATCTGAACGTCATATTTACTTCTTATTCTCCGGACAATGTAATCTTAGCCTCAGGTAAACCGGGGGAATATAGTTGATATGGAAAGTGAAGATAGGATACGCTTTCGACCCTACTGTGATTTTAGTGATGATTTTACTACACCATTTAAATGAAGGAATTTAGGGATATTCAGATGTTCGAAATTCAGTCACGAGATGTAAGGTTCATTAATGAAGTACTTATTTCTGTAGCGACCAACTGATGACATCGAGAGAGGTTGGTGACATAATGGAATCGTACATTCATAATTTGAAAGATCGTGTCCAAAGGCGTAACCTGAAGAAAGGAATTCAGGTAATACTGTTAAACGCCCGCTTCGTTTTATAGGTTAACGTTAAGACAACATGTAGTAATCACAACATTGTTTTTATTTCTAGGCAAATGGAAAAGATAGCAGGGGATATAACAGTGGCAGTTATGTAGGCAAACTTTTCTAAATGTAAATGCTGAGAATGTGATGAGCACAATGTTTCATCAACTGATATTTTATTTTGCTTATTTACAGGGTGCTACCAGTGGACCTAACTTGACGGATTAGCAGTGACATTGTACTACAGTTTCCAAATATAATTTCCAAATTTAAGCTCAAAAAAAATTGACACTATGTGCTAAATTAAGTCTTTTTCTTCTGAAGTTAAGCTAGTCCGTAATGAAAATGAGCTCAAAGGGTTTAAATAAAGCTGATAAGCAAAACCAGTAGGTTCTCAGCTACTCCTGAAAATGTCTACAAAAAGAACATGGTGTTGAATTAGTGTCAGTCATGCTGAAAACCAAAACTGAGTTCTAGACTGTGACACTAAAGAGTCTATTTAAGAAAAGATCCAGAATTTACTGACTGTAGAACGTTGGAATTAGTGAGATTTAATTCAGCATTATGCTAAGCTTGGGAGGAGCAGAACCTGGACTAGAAGGGCTGCAATAAGGCTGACAAGCTACTTCTGATAATGCGTAGAATAAGAACAAGGTGCTGAATTGGTGCCAGTCATGATGATAAACCAGCGCACAGTTCTACCTTAAGCAAATAATCCGTAACTGTTCTGCCACTGTTTGATCCAACAATGGCAGAACAGTTAAGGCGTTTAATTACTGAGAAAAGTTAATATATTAGCATAGTATACGTGAATTGGCTCAATGATTGCAGATTTACCATAATCCTTAACTACCAACATAAAAACTGGGAACTGCAAGCTAAAAATAAACGTCATAGTAGCATCCAGTGACAAAAAACTGACCTACATACTCCAAAACAAGCAAAACGTTCAAAAAAACCTTTAAAATTCAATGGAAAACGAATTCATGAAAACATATAACCAGTAGACGCAGGAACCCATTATGACCTTTAATCTGGCTATAGCGTCTTTCTCCATGTTGGACAGCGATAACCGGACGAGTGTGGGCAGCGTGTCGACGGCCGTATTTTGAGTGCCCGCGAGTGAGATAAACAAGTGATTTGCTCCCTTGTGATCGGCCAGTTTGTCATTCGAGCTGCGGTAATTTCAAACATCATTTAACTGCTTGGTTAGGTTCGCAATTGCCAGGAGCGTTTTATCAAGTCGGGTGCATAATTGACAGCACATACTATTACAGCTCATGATGGATTTGATAAACCAGAGGATTTATTTGCTGAATTCATTGAATTCATCCCATATCAAGATCAAAACAGTATATGTAGGTAAACCTACATTTACTGTTTTCCTGTCACGAAGATCGGAAAGCAGGTATCAAATGTCTCAGTAAGCAGTGTAATGCATGTAGGCTACATGTTTTTAGTTGAAATAAACTGGGTCTCCATTCCCTTTCAGGATTAATCTTGAGTTCATTTGGAATATGTTAGTTGACCACATCAGTTTTGCGAGAATGCAGTGAAAGTAAGTAAACACCTGCTTCATAAGACTACGTGATACATTTAATTTAAATGATCGCATAATAAGTAGTTGTCTATCTAAGTTAATGATGAATTCGTTGCGATAATAATACCTGTTATTGCTTTTATAGTCACTATGATCATGAACGTTATTATTATTAATGCTGTCAGAACTCGTATTATTTGTCATAAAGCTGTTGTCACTTTTGTTAAAATCTTTGTTCAAGCTTTGGAAACTGTTGCATAACTTGTCGTTAAATAATTTTTCATTTCATGATGCTTCGATGGACCTACTAGATATCGACCGACGATAAATTGTGAAGTCCCTTGAGTTTAGTGAAAACTGTTTAGCTACTTATATATATTGTTTGTGAAGTGATTACTTGTAAATGCTTATGAAGGAACATTTTTTGTTCAGATCATACATGTACCACCTAAGTTAATAATGCTTTTCTTAAACCTTTTCAGGCTTATGGAGAAACATATATGTGCTGGTACGCAGATGGAATCTACTGACAGTGACGGAGGACTACTCATGTGAATTATCTGTACATCTCAAATCTAATTTTTGCTCAATAAACACTTTTTTAATGAATCTGTGTTCCTTCTGTTGTAACGCGATTGTGTTCCAGTGACGTTATTAACACGTGCTAAGTTAGGAATTAAAGGCAAACTTGTAGGAGTAAATGCGGCGTCTGGGAAACTGTTGTTTACGCGATTACATGAACAGATAGCAACGTACCGTGTTCTGTAGCTGCGAACCGTAGGTATTCTAATGAAGTATAATTGTATTTCATTAGTAGGCATTCTGTTTTTGATTATTACGATAACCGTAGTTGTACTGAGTTCTAAATCTAACAGTATACGTACATTATTCCCATCTTGGTTTATTACGATAAGTAGAAATCGCAAACTCACTATCTCAGGTAGATTTACTTTTAACCTTGTTTGACTATGAATCCGAAGTCAATTAATAGGTTCCTACTAAGACGATATATAACTAAGCGCTTATAACCTCAATGTTTTCTTTTACAAGTGGACGCAGTAACTTCATTACGGCACGACATAGTCTTTTTATCAATAAGCCTCTCCAAATATCTAATTTTACCTAGCATTTTTAAGATCACGTCATATACTCAGTACCTCACAAATTACGCAAAGGCTAGAAATCAGCTTTATCAAGTAGAATACACAAACGAATAACGAGGAATACATTTATTAATGAATAAACATGTAATACATAATCAACAAACCTCGCCTAGATTACTAGGTCACTAGTATTCTAGCCGGTCCCAAGTCCGGATAAAGAGGGAGGGTTGGGGCGTGGTGCTAGCAACTCCACCCCCAAAACTTAACCAAATTGCTACTAAAACTTCAACGCACAAATATATTCAAAATTCTAAAAATAGAAACAATGACCTTATTTCTCGCTGGAATCGGGAAAGTGAAATGACGTGGGTTGGTGAAAGCCTTCGGGAAGCCAGTCAGCCGATGTGCCTTCTTTCGATGAAAGCAAAAATAAGGATGGGGACGTGGAATATTCGTACAATGTACGAAGCTAGGAAGGCTGCTCAGGTAGCCGCAGAAATGAGGAGATATAAAATAGAAGTGTTGGGAATCTGCGAGAGCAGATGGAACGGATGTGGAAGGAGCCAACTAACAACTGGAAAGACAATAATCTACTCCGGTCACCCAGAGGACGATCACGAGCACACCGAGGGAGTAGCCATCATGATGTCATCAACAGCGGCTAAAGCTCTCATGCAGTGGGAACCAATCTCCTCCAGGATAATGACAGCCAGGTTCAACTCAAAAGGAAGGAAGGTTACAATCATTCAGTGCTACGCGCCTACAAACGCCTCAGAACATGAGAAGAAGGAGGATTTCTACAGTCAACTACAAACAGTAATGGACAACGTCCCAAAGAGCGATATCAAAATCCTGATGGGCGACATGAATGCGAAACTGGGAGGAGACAATACAGGAAGAGAACTCACCATGGGTCGTGAGGCCCTCGGTGAAATGAACGACAATGGTGAACTCTTCTCAGACTTCTGCGCCTTCAATGATTTGGTGATTGGTGGCAGTGTGTTCAAACACAGGGATATACACAAGGCAACATGGATTTCACCAGATGGACACACCAAAAACCAGATAGACTTCATTTCAATCTCAAGGAAGTGGAGACGGAGCCTACTGGACACAAGATCGAGGAGAGGAGCAGATGTGGGTTCAGACCACTATCTAGTACAAGGGACTTTCAAGGTGAAGCTGAAAGCCTCGAGGATACCTGGGGATAGGCCACAATGCAAGTTCAACACTCACAAACTGAAGGACACAATCACACAGGACATTTTCACTGCAACTGTCAGAGCAAAGCAGGAAACACTACGTGGCACCACTGAGGAATCATCCGTGGAAGACCATTGGAACTCTCTGAAGGTAATTTTCAACGAAACGTGCTCAACGGTTTTAGGAAGAAAGAAGAAACAAGACAAGGAATGGCTCTCAACAGACACTTGGAAACTAATAGAGGAGAGGAGAAAGGTGAAAGAGAAAATGATTCAATGCAAAGATGGACAAGAGAAAGAGACGCTGAGCTCAACTTACACAGCACTGGACAAAGAAGTGAAGAAGAGTGCCAGGAAGGACAAAAGACAATTCTACGACAACCTGGCTACTGAAGCTGAGAAGGCAGCAGGCAAAAGGGACCTAAGGACACTATATCAGATAACCAAGTCTCTATCCGGGAAGAGATCAACACAAGTGAAACCTATAAAAGACAGCCAAGGGAACCCAATTACCAAAGAAGAAAGACAGATTAAACAATGGGCGGACCACTTCAAACAACTCTTGAACAGACCACCACCTGCAACCCGTCCAGCAATACCAACAACAGCACGTACACAACTGCAAGTTGACACCAATCCTCCAACGAAAACTGAAGTCATGAATGCAATCAAGCTTCTGAAAGCTGGAAAAGCAGCTGGACCAGATGGAATACCCCCGGAAGCACTGAAAGCGGACCCAGAAACGACAGCAGATATGCTGACTCCATTATTGCAAAAGATCTGGAAAGAGGGAAAGGTGCCTACTGACTGGAGGAAAGGTTACCTCGTGAAACTACCAAAGAAGGGCGACCTAGGACTCTGCAAGAACTGGCGAGGAATCATGCTCCTGTCGACGCCAAGTAAAATCCTGAGTCGCATCATCCTGGAGAGAATAAAGGACGCACTGGATACAGAACTCCGCCAACCAGAACAAGCTGGATTCAGGAAAGGCAAATCATGTTCTGACCAAATTGCAACTCTACGCATTATCATCGAACAAAGCATGGAATGGCAATCAAACCTCTACCTCAACTTTATAGACTTTGAGAAGGCCTTCGACAGCGTTGACCGCGAAGTAATTTGGAAACTACTCGAGTACTACGGCGTACCCCAAATATTCATCAACCTTATTCAACAACTGTACGACAACGGCACATGCCAAGTGATCCACAACGGAAAACTCAGCGAGGCGTTTGGAGTAAACACAGGAGTCAGACAAGGGTGCTTATTATCACCAATGATATTCCTAATTGTGGTGGACTGGATTATGCGTCAGACAGTGGGAAACGAGAAGACAGGGATATCCTGGACCGATGTGAAGAACCTAGAAGACCTGGATTTCGCAGATGATTTATGTTTGATGTCACACAAAATCGAAGACTTACAAGCGAAAACCGACAAACTGGTCGAAGAAGCAGCCAGAGAAGACAGGACTCCAGGTGAACATAGACAAGACGGAGGTTATGAAAATAACCAACCAACCAACAACAACAGCAGCAACATCCAGCGCCAATCACCATCAACGGGAGGGATTTGAAAGAGGTTACTTCTTTCACTTATCTTGGGAGCATTGTCTCAACCACAGGAGGAACGGACGAGGATGTCAAATCGAGAATCGGGAAGGCGAGAAACACATTCATCAACCTGAGACCAATCTGGAAATCTTCGTCACTCAGCATCAACAACAAAATACGGATATTCAATACAAACGTCAATAGTCAGTTCTTCTATATGGATCAGGAACTTGGCGGGTCACCAAGAATATTTTCAACAGGCTGCAGACCTTTATCAACAACTGTCTTCGCTCTATACACTGAAGATCAGATGGCCGGAAAGAATCACAAACAAGAAGCTATGGGAACAAACAAAACAGGAACCAATCGCTCAACAAATATGCAGGAGAAAGTGGAGATGGATTGGACACTCTCTGAGGAGGCCGTTGAGTGACATCGCGCGTCAGGCCCTCGAGTGGAACCCGAAAGGGAAGCGGCGGGTGGGACGTCCAAGGGTGGGTAACATGGAGGAGATCGTGTGATGAGGAACTGAAACAGTATGGATTAACATGGACGCAAGTGAAAAGTACAGCACAAGACAGAAGCAAGTGGAGACGTGCAGTTGAAGCCCTATGTTCCACTAGGAACCCAAGGGAACAATAAATAAATAATAACATAAT